ACAACAACAAAGCTCTTGTCTCTTTGCTCTCGCCATCTTTCTGTTTCTCTCTCTCCCCCTCTCATCTCCCTGTTTCTCTTTCATGCTGTGATTCTATTTCTGCCCCATGGATCCTGTCTCCTTTGAGAAGGCTACAGGGAAGGGTCCAAGGCAGGGACTCTGTATGATGGAATTAGCTGCTGATCCTCTATATTCCTCCTTCTCTTAACAGTGGAGTACCCAGTAACCCTGCAATGTGCCAACGTGAGCGTTGTGGAGCACAGACTCTGCCATAAGGCATACCCAGGCCACATCTCTAATAAAATGCTGTGTGCAGGCCTGTGGGAAGGAGGCCGAGGTTCCTGCCAGGTGAGATCATATTCTGGGGAGAGGGTACTGAGTACTGAGAATAGGGCTTCACCCCAAAACTTTCTGAGTTAAAGAGATGTGAACTGAGACACCTCTGTCCTGGATGGTTGGACTGGGTACCCAGACAGCTAGGTCTGAAGAGAGACAAAATTGGGGACCCAGGCTCCAGGAAATGAGTGAAAGAAGATGGGGTGGGAGAGCAGGGGGTGAGAGGGGGAGGACCCAAACTCCTGGATCTGAAGGGAGATAGCATGGGGGTGGTGTCCAGACTTCAGGATCTGAACGGAGACAGAATTTGGGGGCCCAGGGCTCTAAATCTGAAGGGAGAGAGGTCAGGTGGGCCCAGACTCCTGAATCTTAAGAGAGGAGGTACTGGGGGCCTGGACTTCTGGGTGCTAGGGAAGGGAGAACTGGAGACCTTCCCAAGAAAGGGGAAGTGGCCAGTGGCCCGAATGATCATGAATACACTTGGCTAACCATACCCTGCTCCTACCCTTCTCACATAGGGTGACTCTGGGGGCCCCCTGGTTTGTAACGGGATACTGGCCGGAGTGGTGTCTGGGGGCTCAGATCCCTGCTCTACACCCCGACGCCCCGCTGTCTATACCAGCGTATGTCACTATGTGAACTGGATCCGAAAGACCATGGAGGAAAATTGAGTCCTCGCAGCCCTCCACTGTCAGCTGTACTGAAGACAGCGCCGGAATTCAGACTCCGCCCACGTATGGGCTTTACCAAGGCATGACCCCACTCCCCAGAAGGAGCTACTCCCCTCGTGACTTCATCTATGTGACGTCACCTACGACTGGCACCACGCCCCTGAAACGACACTCTTGCGGCTCCACCCCTTGGACTTTTGCCCAATGGGACTTCCCCTCTGTCTTCCACCTTTTGTGGCTCCGCCCTCTTAACGCAAGGATGCCACCTTCCGGTGATGTCAGAGATGCTGAAGCTCCTCCCACTTGGAACTCTGTCAGCCACGGACTCCGCCCCTCATTGCTCCGCCGTGGGCGTGTCCTGGTTTTGAATCCAGGCGGGGACGCGACTGGGGGAAGGTGCGGGGTGGTCTCCGTTCCTATAGGGCCAATGGTTCAATTTGCAATAAACGCGAGGACCCGCACCTCCTTCTGTCTGCGTTGTGGGGTGAAGGGAACCAACGCCACAATGCAATTATCCTTGAGCCCCTATAAGTCCAGTCTCCATCAGCCCTATTGCTGCAAGCTTCCTGGGTTGTGCTTGGGCTGGCTCCGCCGCCCCCAGGGGAAGGGGAAACCAGGTCAAGGTGCCTCCCAAACCTGCCTTCCCAGATCCCCGACCTCTTAGCGGACAGCGGGCGGGCCTGCTCCGCCCTCTAGTCTCTGGACTAGAAAGACCCGCCTTTTCAAGTTCCGGGTTGCCAAGTGCAGCCCCCTCCACCCACAAGAATCCAGCTGCCAGCCCCCTTCTCCCTCAGACCCAGCAGTCCTGGCCCCCCAGCCTCCTCCTCCCTCCGACCCAGGAGTCCCGCTCTCCAGCCCCTTCTCCCTCCCACACAGGAGTCTGAGCCCCCAGCCCCTTCCTCCCACAGACCCAGGAGCCTGGCTCCCCAGCATCTCCTCCCTCAGACCCAGGAACCACTGCGTTAAGTCCGTGGTACCTTGCGCCTCCTAAACTCCAAATTTAGCTTCTCTTCCTTCAGGATTTCTTCCGCAGCCCCTCAACCCCTCCTCACTCAGACCGAGGGTTCCAGCTCCCGGATGCTCCACGGGCTCCGGATTAGGAGGAGGCGGAACAGGAGGCGGGGATTCCCAGTTAAAAGGCACCAGAATCGAGTACCTGGTTTACAGAACTGAAGTCCCCGGGCTTCGCCTGCTGGGCAGTGACCCCGCCCCTTGGATTCTGTAAGGTGAGATGCGCTGGTACTCAGACACAACCCTGGGAATCCTGAGCCCCAGCCCACTCCTCTCCCAGGACCCAGAAGTCTGGGATTCCTACTCCCATTCTCCCTAGAATTTAGGAATGCAGTCTTCCAGCTTTACCTCTCAAATTCAGGAAGCTGGGTCCCTCAGCCTCTTCCTACTTTAAGACCCCGGAGAACAGCTCTGGATGACTCAGCTGGGTCCCAATTCCAAGATCTCAGTACTAGGAGTCCGGACACCTCCTCTCTTTCCCTCTCCCAGACCCCACCATGGGACGCCCCCCGCCCAATGCCGTCTTGACCTGGATGTTCCTGCTGTTGGGCCTCTGGGCAGGTGAGGAGGTTGGGGGAGGGACTGGAATACACCTGTGATGAGGGGTGGGGGACGTATGGGAAGCGTATGGGATGCAGGTGAAAGTCTCCCGGAGCGCCCCAGGATGTGTAAGTGGGGCTGCCAGAACTTACACAGCAATGTGCAGATGTGCATGCATGTGAGAACATGTGGAAGCATGCTTGGGTGTCTGACTCCATGTGCAATGACTCATGGCTAGACTGGTGTAAGTGTGTGTCGGTGTGGCAGTGTGTGGCACATGCTACTGTGTGCAGGCGTGTAGGGGAGGGATGAAGCAAGCAGATAACTTGCTGTGTACCTATTTGAACAGTATTGGGCTGGGTCAAGGGACTCTGGTGGTGTGGTGGATTAAGTATCGGGCTGCTAACTGCAAGGCTGGTGGTTCTAAACCAACAGGCACGCCACAGGGAAAGATGGGATTGTTAACTCCTGTAAAGATTTAGGCTCAGAAACTACGGAGCAGTTCTGCCCTAACCTATAGGGTTGCTATGCGTTGGGATCAACTCAGTGACAGTAAGATTTTTGTTGTTGGTGATTTGGGCTTGGCCAGGACTGGGAGGGAGAAGAGAAGCTGGTGGGCCCAGTGAGCCCCAAGCCATTAGCAAGACTTGGCCCCCAGGAGGCAACAAAGAAGGGAAAGTGATTGTGTCGTTGTGATGCACTGGTAACCCGTGCTGGAAACCATAAAAGCCACAATATTAACAGAATTGGTGAGGGGAAGAGAAAAAACAAAAAATAAAGGATGGATGAATGAATGCATGAGTAGGTGAATGAATGAATATCCTGCCTTTGTGGTGGAGAACACCATGCTTTGAGCACTTTTGCTAGACAGAACAGTGGTTTTCCTGGCCCCTGTGCTGTCTCGAGGAGCTCTGGTAGCGTAGTGGTTACGAATCGGGCTGCGAACCCTAAGCTCACCGGTTCGAAACTACCAGCCACTCCGCAGGAGAAAGAGGAGGCTTTCTACTCCCGTAAAGATTTACACCCTCAGAAACCCTGTACAGGGTCGCTATGGGTCGGAACCGACTCGACGGCACTTAACAACAACAACATGCTGTCTCGAAGGGTGGCAACCCAACTCTCTCCCTCCTGCTGCAGGGTGCTCCAAGGCACAGGGGTCCAAGGTGCTGCAAGGTGAAGAGTGTGAGCCCAATTCACAACCTTGGCAGGTGGGCTTGTTCCAGGGCATCCGACTGCTCTGCGGGGGTGTTCTCATAGGTGACAACTGGGTCATCACAGCTGCCCACTGTAAAAAATCGTGAGTGGATTCCCAGGCCCAAGTGGGCAGCAGTCTGAGGAGAGAGGGAAGAAAGGCTGGGGGACTGGACTCCTGGGTTTGAGGGAGGAGGGGCTGGTCTAAGGGAGGAGGGACATATGAGGAACTAGGCTCCTGGGTCTGAGGGAGGAGGTGTTTTGGGGTCAGGGCTCTGGGTCTGAGGGAAGAGGGGTATATGGGGGACTTGGACTCCTGAGTCTGAGGGAGGAGGGACTTGGACTCTTGGATCTGAGGGAGAAGAGGCTTGGGGGTCAGGGCTCCTGAGTCTAAGACAGGAGAGGACTGGGGGCTTCTGAGTCTGAGGGAGAGGAGGGGTTTTAGGGTCAGAGCTCCTGGGTCTGTGGGAGGAGAGGGCTTGGGGCCTGGACTCCTGAGTCTGAGGGAGGAGGGAACCTGGGGACCTCTATTCTTGTATCTGGATGGAAGATACAAGAAGATCCATCTGGAAGACGGGGCTGAGAACATGGACTTCCGGGTCTGAGGGAGGAGGGGGCTAGGGACATGGGCTTCTGGCACTCCCGATCTCATGAAGAAGGCCTGAGTCCCAAACAATCCCACCCTTACAGGAAGTACACAGTTCGCCTGGGAGACCACAGCCTGCAGAAAAAAGATGCGCAGGAACAAGAAATGGCTGTGGCTCAGTCCATCCCTCACCCCTGCTACAACAGCAGCAGTGAGAACCATAGCCATGATCTGATGCTCATTCGACTACGGGGTCGGGCGTCCCTGGGATCCAAAGTGAAGCCTATCAAACTGGCGGCTCACTGCGCCCAGGCTGGCCAGCAGTGCACCATCTCAGGCTGGGGCACTGTCAGTAGCCCCCGAGGTACCGGGCTTGGCCAGTGATGGGGGGTAGAGGAGGAGCTGGTGGGTCCAGGGGACACAAGCCATTAACAAGACTTGCCCATCCCTCAGGAGGAGACCAAGAAGGGAAAATGATTGTGTTGTGAGATATACAGGTAGCCCTTCTTAAAAACCTTGAAGTCAGGATATTAACAGAAATGGTTGGGGAAGAGAAGAAACTAAAAGATTGTTGAGCAGGACACAAAAGAGAAAAGCAAAAAGGGTGGATGGATGAATGAATGAGAAGGTGAATGGATGAACCTCTTTCCTTCTTGCTTCAGAGCACCATGCTAAGAGTCCTTTTATTACACAGAATTTTCAGTAATTTTCTTTGTAGACTTGAGATATATGGACTCCTATGGAGCTCCAACCAGATGGATTGGCCAAGTGGCAGCATCGATGAACTCAAACATGGCAATGGTAGTGAGGTTGGCCCAGGTTCAGGCAGTGTTTCGTTCTGCTGTGCATAAGGTCTCTATGAGTCGGT